GTCCTTGCTGGATGACCATCTTAAGTGACAGCCACCATTTTAAGAAACAGTATTGCTTTCCCACCCAAGGGCCTTTCTGAGAAAGGCTCACCACTCCCTTATACCAACTCAACCTTTCGTTGTTAGGACCCACCTGGCTCTAATCTCTGAGCCTGCTCCAATAAAGTCCCTAACCCCAAGCTACTTTGGAGTTCTCGCTACTTTGGAGTTCTCGCAAGGATTCCTGGAGAGTTTCCATTGGTTGGGGAAGTGCCGGAGGCGGGATTTCCGGTTGGTATGTGGTTCCTGGAGGAGCCGCGTGGCGTTAGGGAGATTTCCCGGGGAGCGTGTGTGGAGTGTGCTGGTGGAGTTCAGAAATAAAGTTTGTTCCTGCTTCAGTGGCTCATGATTTGTGCCCAGCCAGACTGCAGCATTGCTTAGTACCTGGGTTTTGCTAAGGCAGGCTTTGAACTCACGATCTTTCTGCCTCAGCCTCCCAAGCTGCAATACACCTGGCCATTGTCTTCTTTTGTAAATATTTGAAATTCTTCAGAATAAAAAAGAATTGTTTTGAGCTATTATGCCTGACTCCAAAAAATAATGTTTAAAAACTGTTTGATGACCACCATGTAAGGCATGTGTTCACTTATATCTTTAGTGTATGAGAAAACTCATATATTTCCTCTAGTGCTGGGTGTTAGTGCTGTTTAATTTTTGTCAATATCATGTTTGCAAAAAGGCATTTGTTGCTGTAATTTGCATTTACTTTACCACCAGTGAAGCTGACTATCTTGAGATGAGGTCAAGCTTCCTTTTTTGGCAGGTGGCTGCCAGGCCACAGTGTTTCTAAATGTTACCACCTAGGGGTGCTGGGGTCCTTGTCTCCCTTCAGCAAAGAATTGAAGAATAAAACACATAGGTAGCAAGCAAGCAGCAGGTTTATTGCAAAAGCGTCAGAAACAGTCTTCTTCAAAGGGAAGGGGACCCAGAGCTGGGAATCTGGTGGGGAAATTTTGACTTGTTCTTTTTAAGGTCTCTGGACTTTCTTCTTTATCCCCCTTCTGTCCATGCTTTCCTCACTATTATGGATTGGGGCCCCAGTGTCCAGGCATCTGTTCTAATTTTTCTATTGTATCCCCCACTTAGGAGTACAAATATGGAAATGTCTGTCTGATTGGATCCCCTCCTGTGTCCACAAGCACATTCTTTAAGCAGGAAGTTGACCTCCTTAGAAGACCCTCTCCATGCTTCTTTGTTCTGGCCCTGTCCCCAACTTCCTCACCGTCTTGCCCTGGCTGCCTACACCCTTCTACATCTCCCTCATAAATGAACATAAAGAATAGTTTCTAGAATATAAAGATGTAGAAAGGCCACTCGGTGACCATGTTTGGAATGACGTAGAGACAAAACCACTTGGCAACTACATGAACAATAAAACATCTTCCACTTCTGACTGAACCAAGTGACTGAGTTGGTAAAAGCAATGACAATTTTAGGCTTGCTTTAATCCTCTGACCTCTTAGATTGAAATTACTAAAATATCCAGCCACTGAATTAGCCCAGTTTATTGACAACTTTCCATCCCAACTAATCCCTAGTTCTTTAACTTTTCTTGGAATAATCCAGTACACAAGCCAAATCCTGTGAGCAGCCGCTTCCAGTGTCCTCTTGCTCAGCCTCTGGAGTACTTAATAATTACTTGGAAGCAGATTGTCTTTAAATGCAAGCATATATTCAATCACACCAATCATCAAACACAAACAATTAATGCAAAAAGTGTTGGTTATGCTGGAGCACCCCAATTAATGTATACCAATTAAATACAACAAGCAGCAAATCACACAATCCTAGGGAAACCACAAGCCCTAAAGTACCTCTGATGCCATGCGACTTCTCTTAGCCGAAGAGCTGAAGTTGTCATTTTCTGGTGGTTCTCTCCAGCGGAAGGTGGAATGTCAAGGAATGGTGGGTTGGTCTGGGGACTGACAGCAAGGTGGCCAGTCTTATTGATGTCCTCAGAGCAAAGCTCTTTGATGTCACAGGACAAGCAGTTTACATACAGTTCCAAGTTGTGCTCATTATTATCACACTCCAGTGTTGTTCTGTCTCTAGATGATGGTCCTTATCAATTGTGTCCAGTCATGACTAAGCATGTCTGTGGCTGCTGTTCCTTAGAGCCAGCAACTTAGTGAGTGCAGCATGCCCCAGCATGTCTATGGCAGATGCTCCCTACAAGAGGTAAATCAACTATATTTTACTATAGATATTGTTTCTGGTGGCCTTCAATTGGTGGTTTTGAAATGATGTATTTTGAAAGTTTATTTTTCATTTGATTTTCCTCTTTTGGGGAACACTTTTTCATTTTTAATGGGTAGATCTGTAAATTTCCCTTTTGTTTATGAGTCAATTTCATTTTTTACCTTCCACATTCTTCTCTAGGAGCCATAAGTATTACTTCTTAGTCAGAAGAGATTAAAAAATAAGAGTTCCCATTTAGGTTAGATCACTCCAAGTTTGATGACATTAGCAAGAATTTTCAGGTTTTTGTTAATTCACCAATAAGGCTGCAGGTGATGAGGTTGGGGGTAGTTTCTGAGCTAAATTGGATCTATTTGGTAGAGACTCTTCTGGATCTTTCTTTTTTCTTTTTCTTTTATTTTTTATTCTAATTTGTTATATATGACTTCTGCTTCTTTCTTGACCACCAAATCTAGTTTACTGAGGTTGAGAAGGGTGTGTGTGTGTGTGTGTGTGTGTGTTTACCATATATTGTTCATTAGATAGTGAAGGAGAAAAGTTGTTCTAATGCAATTTTATTTCATCATCCTGTAAATCTGATATTTCTATAATAATTCTGCTGTGAGATATATAAAAAATTCAATAATTCTTTGTTAATAGTTATTTTATTGATATAAAATATTACTATTTATCCTTTTTGTGCTTTTCATCTTATTTTACTGTTACATTAATATTGTAACACATACAACATATCCTTTGTTTGGTGTACTGGGAAAATATTTTGATGTTTTAAGTCCTTGTGTTTTTATCCAATATGTGGCTCTGACTTCATTCAGAACTAGATTGAATCATCCCTCTCCTTAAGGGAGATGGCATAATAGAATGTGAATACAAAAGAGGCAAATTCTTGGCTTATGAATTTTAAAACTGGGCCCAAGTGTAAGACAGTCTGAGTCAGTTTCTTCTCCCTCACTTGGGGGAAGAGAAGAATCAGGTCATGTTGTTTGTCCATTTTCTTAAATGTTACTCCTCTCTCTTGTAGAGTATAGGGTTTATCACTTTTGGTGTTAAGAGTTTTGCTCAAATATTTTGTTCTTTTTTGGGGGGCATTCATCTTAATTTTTGAAGTTCCATGTCAGTGCACATGTGAGTGCTGACTCTCGTTATCACACCTTATTGCCAGTAATTTCAGGAAGAGTTTGGACTTGCTGCTAATTGAGGTATGTTAGTGTCCAGTCTTCTGGAACCAGGGACCAACACATTGCGGAGAACACCACATTGCGGAGTCTCTTGGGGCTCAGGTACTTATATTCTCTCTCATCTACCTAGAGGTAGATGCCTCTGCTGCCAGTGGCTTGGCAAAAACTGGGGAGTTTCTAATGAAACTGCTTATAGCAACTTTTCTCCCTCAATTATGTAATGAAATGAGCAATATATGGTAAACACACACACACACACACACACACACACACACACCCCTTCTCAACATCAGCAAACTATATTGATGGTAAAAAAAAACAAAAACAAACAGAAAAGAACCTAAAGAGTCTACCTACAACAGACAGAAAGGACCAGTTTAGCTCAGAAACTACCCCCACCTTCACTGCCCAGTAATGCTTCTGTGAACATTTTTGTGCAGTCTGTGTGGATACGTCATCTCATTTTTCTTGCCCAATGTGAAGGAGGAGATGAACACCTGATTGGCAAAGAGTGCAGAAGGTAGTCCTCAGTTCTCCTGGTAACAAAAAATATTTGGAGACAGCATTGTCTCCTTTGTTGTTCTCTGCTTAGAGATGGCTCACTCTCTTGAGAGTGCATATAAATAATAGCAACAATAATTTTTATCAGCTGAAGGATGTCCTTATTGGATAACTATGTAATCACAGTATACAATTCACCTGGCTTGTGAATTTTAAAAATATGCAATTTTTGAAAGATCTCTTTCTTTGGGGTGGAGTAGGAGTTGCATTACTTCTGTTTTCTACACATAGTGAGACTTTACTAATATTTTAAGTAATAACTAGTGACACTACTTCAAATGTGTGTCATTTTAATTCAAACATAAAGTAACAGTATATTCTGCCTTCATTATGAAATTAGAATAAAAAATATTAATTGGGGAAATAAACATGGAAAAACCAACTTTACATGTTTAGAAGAGTCTGAAAGCACTGAATACATTCACAAACGATTGGTACAAGTGAATTGGTATTAACATCTATACATTTGCAGGACTCACAAATTTTTCTGAGTGGAGCAGTCTCAAATCATATAGGGATAAATTGCAGGAGGAGTCTATAATATAGTTTGGGGAGGGCAACATAATGGGCAATTACATGATTTTGGAGAAAAATAATCCAAATGCTTCATAAATAATATGTTAAATTTCCAGGTATCTGTTATGAGAATTTGTTGAATGAAATGAAAAAGACTTTTACAGTATATTCATGTTTGCAATCCTGTGCCTCCATTAAAAAATAAGGGAGATATACATTTCTACATGTTTTGTCATGACACAACTCCCAGGATTTATGTTTCAAGAAAAAAGTAAGGTACACAACAGTATGTACACTATGTTACCATCTCTGAGTATGTGCACCCACACATCTATAGTAGAAGGATTTCTCTGGAGGATTGTCAAATCCTCAGGTTGTGGCTCAGTGGCAAAGTGTTGCCTCACACATGTGAGGCACTGGGTTCTATTCTCAGCACCACATAAAAATAAATAAACAAAATTAAAAAAAAAATATGTCAGCAATGCTGTCTCTGGGGAAAACTGATTAACTGGGTAATGGGAACGGAAGGGAGACCCATTTTAATGGAATGTGATTCTGTTTTACTTGACTTTGTCTCTTGAAAAACAAGGAACTTTGCATTCCTTTCCTCCTGTAAATGTAAGACCAAAGTCAATGAAACAATTGTTTGGAGTTGTTTGGAGTTGTTAAACAAATTGTTTGGAGTTGTTAAACAAATCATGATTTTATTGACTTATTTTAATGGAGTTGCTGGCAGGATAAAATATAAGCCTGGACATGCTATCTTCTTTTCACCAGAAATGGCAAAACTGCTTGATCCTGGGATGAATATGGAGGAAAGCAGAGAATACATAGGAAGAAAGCAAGACATTCTGAAGATACCATTTGAACATGTGGATCCAGCAATGCCTGACTGACTGGACTCATTCCTGGACTTTATAATCCTTTAAGCTAATAAATGTCCTTTTGCGATAAACCAGTTGGAAATGGGTTTCTGTCACTTACAAATGTAAATACACATGGGGTACTGCCCTGACATTGCATTTCCATGGGATTTTTACGTAAGTGTGCAATATTGCTTAGCCCTTTCTGATTTTCCCATATCTTTTCTTTTAAAAATACTTTATTTTGAAAAATGTCAAACTTAAAATCGTGCTGCAACTTATAAGTATGGAACAATGAAATTTCATATATCCTTCATCTAGAATCATCAGTTAATATTTTAAAAATAGTTGCCTCAAATGTTTTGTTGTTGTTATTATATTTGTTGAATCATTTGAGAATTCGTTATAGACATTATGAATTCTTACCCCTAAATGTAAACATGTAACTCCTAAAAGTAAGAACATTCTCTTATCAATACAGTATCAAACTCATGAAAATTAACTTTGATACAATATTACCATCTACTATACAACTCATGTTCCAATTTTTCCAATTGTCCTTTTTAAAAGTTGAATGCTTGCCTAGCACGTGCAAGGCCCTGGGTTCGATCTTCAGCATCACATAAAAATAAATAAATAAAATAAAGGTATTGTGTCCAATTACAACTAAAAAATAAATACTAAAAAAGTTTTTTTAAAAAAAATACAGTTGGAGAAAATACATGAAATTTATCATGTGTGAATTTCATCTCAATAAAACATTGTAAAAGTCAATAATCATTAGGAGTAAGGCTGTGGTGAGCATTGTCCTGCCATGCGGATCATTTCTGAAATTCTGTGTTCCTGTGATGCAGTGATGCTCATCCACTGTTCTGTGGCCTGCTCATCTTCCCAGCAGAATGCTCTGGCTTCTTGTGGCAATGGTTTCCAAGCTCCTCTCAGTCATTTTAATGGTCATTTAGAATTCCATTAAACATCCCAGAATATGCTTAACTGTTTCCAACTAGTAGGTGGTTTGTACTCTTCACACCATAATAAAGAGTGCTATGATGATTATCCTTTATGAACTCATTTCTTTATGCAAGTAATCATCTTTTGGTGTAGGTACATGGAAGTGGGATTTCTGGGTTTAGAAGTGTTTACATTTTGGCAGTTCCATGGTGTAATGGTGAGCACTCTGCACTCTGAATCAAGAAGTGTTTACATTTTGTTTCAGACGAACCACCTGGCAGAAAGGTTATTTCAGTGTTTGCTCCTGGCGTTAGTTCAGCATATATGTTTTTCCCATGACGTCTTTGTGCAAATTTCTTTTGATTATCTACCTTACCTAGTACATGTGAAAAAAATTATTCAATTCACATGCAACCTCTCAGGAATGTATCAAATATGTCTGTACTACTTTTTCTAAACAGGTAATAGTATGAGTCTATAACTCAGAATCTTGTAAACCTTTTAGTATATTTAAAAATATTTTCCTATATGTGTAGCTTTATGCAGTTATCATATCATAAATCCAGCTTTGTATATTTCATTTTTTACTTAACATACTGTAAACATTTTTCTACTTTGATCTTCATTCTAATATTTAAAAAGAAGACAGCTAAAGGGGGAAGACATATATTATTTCAATGAGCTATATAAAATTTTTTGGGGAAAATCTATTTGTGAGGCAGTGTGGTTTAGTGGAAAGAATTATGGCTTTGGAGAAAACAGAATTGTGTTCAGAATACTGGCTTCCCCTGCAAGGTGTGACATTCATTTAAGTCACTTATTTATTATTTATACAGTGAGGGTTACACTTGGTGTCTTACCAAAATACTAATGAAAGTGTGTCATCCCTGGAGAAAAGAAGACAGTAAAACACCATGTCCCTGAAATACCACTCTGTGTCCCCCAAAATCTGGATAAGTCAAGGGAACAAGAGAGTGAGTCTGGGGTAGAATGTCTAGATAAATATGATCTTGAAGGACACTGATTTTCTCTCATGTATGCAGGAAATTAGGGCAAGTTAATGTTATCTGCTAGGGAGCTATTTTCTTGCATGTGCCCCAAGTTCTTTGGAATGTTGGGCATACAATGGGACAAAGCAAGTTAAGCTAGTGATGTCACTGATTCTGTAGCCTGATTTATGAAACCCCTCTTTCTGTGGTAACTGCTCTAGAATGGAGGGAACTGTAGAGAGGGTAAGTGGCACCCATTCAATCTACTGCCACTGGGGACAGAGATGCTATTTATCTGGTGAAGCACCATGAGAGATGAGGTGACATTTTCTAGCATGTTCCCACTCGACTTTGTGGAGTAATGTCATGAGGGATGGAAGTATTACTTGGTGGAGCACAGTGAGGGACAGAAATCCTACCTGTTCAGCCTGTCATCACTGGACCTTTTGTAAACATTTTTCAATAAACCTGTGTCTTGCACACTGTCTCTGAGTACTTCCTTTGGTCTCTGGGCAACCTATCCCACTGCCCTAGCACAATTGGATTGTGAACAATATAAAGGAGATTTAAAAATGACACAAATACATGTGAAGACATAATCTGTTCATTGACTAGAAGACCCACTATTGTGAATTCTTCCAAGTGGACCTAAAGATTTAAGGTGGTCCCATTGAAAATTCCAGAAGGCTTCTTTGCAGATACTACTGATTCTAAAATTTGTACATAAAGGAACGAGAAAGCCAAAATAATTTTGAAAATGAACCAAGTTTGAGGACTTTCACTAGCTGATTTTAAGACATAGTATAAAGTAAGGTTGTCAAGTCAGTGTGATGTTGGCAAAAGGATAGATCTATAGACAAATGAAATATATACATAATATAAAATCTAGAAACAGACCTTTGCAAGTAGGGTCAGCTGATTTGCAACAAAGGGGCAATGACAATAAACAAAGGACAGTCTTCTAAACAGTAGGGGCTGGAAATATCCATACGCAAAATTTTGAACCTCAACCCACATCTCATCTTTCATATTAGATCCAAAAAAATGAACTCATTTGGATGATAGACCTAAGTGTAAAACATAAAATTATAAAACTCTTGGAAGAAAACCTAAGAGAATATCTTTAGATAGTGAAGCAGATTTCTTAGATCTGATACCAGAAGCATGATCCATAAAGACAAAATTTATATATTGCGCCTACTCAGAATTAAAACCTTTTTGTTACACAAAGAGCACTGCAAAGAGAATAGAAAGCTAGTCTCATTTTGGGAGAAAATATTTATAAACCACACATAAAATAAAGCACTTGTATTTAAAGCATAAGGAAAACTTAAAAATCAACAAAACTTAACCTTAAAACTGAGCAAAAGATGTGAACAGACTTTTCACCATAGAAAATATAAAGATGGCAGATAAGCATGAAAAGATGCTCCACATCATTAGTAATTAGGAAAACGCAAATTAAAACCATAATGAAGTATCATTACATACTCATTAGAACGGCTAAATTAAAAAAATACTGACAATACCAAGTGCTGATTAGCATGGAGAATAACTGAAACTCTCGTACTTTTCTAGTAGGAATTCAAATTATACAGCCACTTTGGAAATCAGCTTGGCAGCTTCTTAAACATACATTTACCAAATGATCCAGCAATCTCATTTCTAGGAATTTATCCTGGGGAAATGAAAACTTCTATTCTCCCATTGATGGATATGTGTACAGCAGTGTATAATCATCAAAAACTAGAAATCATCCAACTATCTGTTAACAAGTGAATAGGAAGATAAACTGCGGTACATCCACACAGTGGAACACTACTAGGCAATAAAAAGCAATAAATTTTTGAGGCACACAGCAACATGAATGAATTCAGATGCATTATGTTAAGTGAAAGAACCCTGTATCAAACACAATACTGTTTCATTAAATCACTTTCTAGAAAAGGAAAAAATATAGAAATAGAGACCAGATTGGTGGTTGCCAAGAGTTGAACTAGGGTTTGAATAGAAATGATCAACCACAAGGAAATTCTTTTCCTGGTTAGATTTTTTTCTATATTCTTTCTGTGGTTATGTTATAATGATATCATAGAGCTATGCATGAAAAAGAGAAGATTTTACTATTTTGCAACTAAAAATTAAAAATAATTCCCGCTTGGTGGGTTATCACTGGCATTCAATAATGTTTACTCCATCTGATTCATAAGTGGCACTCAAAAAACAGTAACTGCTGTTACTATTTTTCCAGGGAGTATAGAACAGAGGTTCCAAACACATTCAGATCCTGCTCTGCCACCTTCTGGTTCGACTTTTCTGTGCCTCAGTGTTCTCTGTAAAATGCATAAGTACACCTATCCTATTTTGTTCTTAAGCAGATTAAGTGAGTTAATATAGGTAAGAACTTAATAAATGTTGGCTCTTATTTATAACATCATTTATTGGTTTCTGTATACTGTAAGTCATATGTTGCCAACTGCTGAGAGTCACACCCGAGTCGGAATGGCCCCTGGCATTTTGCCAATAGTATTGTTTGAGAGGCAAGCCATTAAGATGATGCTGGATTGATTCGGTTGTATATTACACCTTTACTGTCCGCCTCAGCCTGCTACTTTGGAGTTCTCACGCTACTTTGGAGTTCTCGTGGGGATTCCTGGAGAGTTCCCATTGGTTGGGGAAGTGCGGGAGAAGGGATTTCCGGAGGAGGGATTTCCCGTTGTTGGTTCCTGGAGGAACCAAGTGGCGTTTGGGAGAGTTCCCCGGGGAGCGTGTGTGGAGTGTGCTGGTGGAGTTCAGAAATAAAGTTTGTTCCTGCTTCAGTGGCTTGTGATTTGTGCTCAGCCAGACTGTGGCAGCCAACAAGAGGGATATGTTCTGAGATATCTTCCAACAAATGTGTCGTTAGGTGATTTTGTTGTGCAAACATCACAGAGTGTACTTTGGAAAGTGTAGATTGGAATAGCCTACTACACTTCTAGGTTATGGGGTACAGCCACTGAATATACGATTGTATATTGTCATTGACAATACATGACTGTATTGATTTCTATGGAGACAAGTTAGGGGGGGTTGTGGTGTGTGTCCCTGACTTCAGAATGAGTAGACACCTTGGAAGGCTTTTGTAGGAATCTGCCTCTGCTTTTATTTTTGCTAGT